CATGGCGTCCCGGCAGCACAGCCCGCTCTATCGGGGAGGGCGAGCGTCTCCTTCTCGGGACGGAACTGCGCGACGGAGAGGAGGAGGAGGGGCGCGGCGCGGCGCTCGAGCGGCAGCGCGCGGAGAGCCGCCGTATCGCACCTATCACTCATCACTCCTCTCATCAATCATGAAGAAGGAGGATGGACAAGGAGAGCCGCCGAGTCGCACGGAGGGAAGGCGACCGCCACGCGGCCGGCCGCGCCTGTACAATCAACAGCTACATGACTCATTGACCAGTCATTCATGGCGGTAAGCGACCTCCGCGGCCGGCGGGCCGCACCGCGCCAGAGCGAGCGGAGGTGGCCCGCCGTCCACGAGCCTGGCGGAGGGGGGGGGAGGAGGCCAGGCCTCAAGTCTCGCTCGCTGCATCTGAGGCCGCGCGCCGCTCTCGCCGTTTGCGACGACGACGTCCGCAGCGGCGCCAGAGGCGCCGTACGCAGCGGCGAGGGCGCGGTAGTAGGCGAGCTTGAGCGAGGTGAGGGCGGGGGAGCTGGCGATGCGCGCCGCGTTGTTGTGCGCGCCGGCGCGCCGCTCGACTGCGCCCACCTTTGGAGGCTAGTCCAGGACAGGTCCAGGACAGGTCCACCTGTCGGTACTCTGCCGTGTCCTGGAGCGTGTCATGCGCCCGCTCTCTGGCGCCAGCTCTCTGGCGCCAGCTCCTCCTCGCCAGCGCCCTCGCCATCCCAGAGGAGAGGGCCAGGCGGTGGACGCAGCCGGCGGATCATCTCGCGTCATCTCGCATCATCTCGCGCCATCTCGGGCCATCTCGCATCATCTCGCATCATCTCGCGCCATCTCAGAGGAGAGGATCGGGTAGTGGACGTAGCACCCGACCCGCCGCACGCCGAGCGCCTTGGCGGCGGCGTAGCAGTAGCCGTAGCCGGTCGTGTCGAGCAGCACGCTCGGCGGCGCCCGCGCCAGCGCCTCCAGCAGCAGCAGCAGCGAGCCCACCGCCTGCCCGAGCAGCGTCGCCACCGGGTAGCTGGACGGCTCGACCACCCTCCGGCTGCGGAGGCGGACAAACTCGACGCTCTCGGGCACGTCGACGCCGAAGCGCGACAGCGTGGCCGCGCGGATCTCGTCGTCGCTGGCCGCGTCGCCCGTGTAGACCACCACACGCCAGCCCTGCAGCTGGTGCCGCGCAAGCAGCTCTCGGAGCGCGACCCACAAGACGCGCTCGCCGCCGCCGCCGTCGTTGGCGTATGGGTGGAGCACGCCGAGCACGCGGCGAGCCCTGACGACACGCAGGCGCAGAGACAGCAGGCACGCGGAGAGGAGTGCGAGCAACAGCGCCAGTGGCGCGAAGAGCAGCGGAGCAAAGATGGTTGACATCGCAAAAAAACAAAGGGAATTCCCGCAACTCTTCCGTGAGCCTGTGTGTGTGCCAGTCCGCGCCAGTCTGCGCCCTTGTCGTGCCAGTGTGCTGTGAGAGAGGCTTGTATCTTAAGAACTCTTATGGAAGATACAAAGAGACGGAGGAGCAACGAGCGCCTGGCGTGAGCCGAAGACACTCTCGCACGAGACAGAAAGAATTTTACCTCCCTTGGGTTGTCTTAGGTATGTTGTTGGCAAATCAAGACACAGAGCTCACACAGGATCACAGCGGGAGGAAAGCGGCGAGTCGCAATTCCAGGGGTCGTTGTGGCGGGCCACCCTGTCCAGAGAGGCATGGATGCCAATCTGGGGTCTCTCGACCGGTTGTCTGTTTTCTTTCTTTCTTTCAGAAAGAATTTTACAAAAAAAGAATAGAGCCGGGCTGTCGAGGTTCTTTCTTTCTCTCTTGGAGCACTTACTGAGGTTGGTTTTTCTGTGTTCCGATCGTGAAGATCCCGCTCTATAATCCAATCAGGCAGTCCCCCGACGGACCGATCGACGCTATCCCCCCCTCGATAGCCGCCGCCGCAGCCGACGCCGCAGCCATGGGGGGGAGTTTTTGCGCGCAGATCAAGCCCCGGATGGGGGATATTGCGGGCTGGGCGCAGCTCTTCTTCGACAATCTCGCGACGCTGCTCGCCGTGATTGGCAGCATCAAGCTCGTGCTTTCCGGCTTTTACGACGGCATGCCGCCAGAGGACGTCGGCAGGCTTGATCCTGTGAAAGCCCCCTACTACGACGCGGTGAACGACTTGATTTACACCAAGACCGTCCCGGGTCTCGCCTGCACCATGTGCTATGGCAACCTGTACTACGCCCTGATGGCCATCCGGCTGGGCATGAAGGAGGACCGCAACGGCGAGGTGACGGCACTCCCCTTTGGAATCAACACGCCCGGCGCGTTCGCATTCATCTTCGGCGTCTTATCGCCGGCCACCATGGCATGCTCATTCGGATCCCCAACTTTCCCCAATGGCTGCTCGCCACCCGAGGACCTCGGGATTACCCTCACAGACGAGGAGTATGTGACGTGCTGGACTGAAGCGGCGACCGAGGGCTGGAAGGCCGGCGTGCTGAGCAACCTGATGTGCGGCTGCATCTGCATAGTGCTCGGCCTATTCGGCTCCCTGATCGTGCTCCTCACGCCCACCTCGGCCATGCTCACCTCGCTCGCCGGCATCGGCTTCGCCTTCCTCGGCTTTGCGCAGGCAGCCAACAACTTTTCGGAGCCGCTCGCCGGCTTCCTTCCGTTCTTCATGTGCATCGCGCTCTTCTACGGCAACGTCAACACGGGGTGCTTCCCGCAGGCGCTCATGATTGCACTGACTGGTATCGCGCTCGGGTGGGCCGACGGCATCGCAAACGTCGACGGCATCAAGGCGGCGAGCTCAGAGGTCAAGTGGCGCGGCGTCTCTTGGGGGTACGATGCGTGGACCGACTGGACGCACGCCACTGAGTATCTCGGCACGCTGATCCCGGTCGCCTTTGCGGCGTCGGCCAACTCGCTCATGAATGTCCTCTCAGCGGCGGAGGCCGGTGACTCGTACAACGTGATCGAGGTGATGTGCAGCGACGGCTTTGGCGCCTGCATCGCCGCCTTTCTGGGCACGCCGTTCGGCACCAGCGTCTACATCGGCCACCCGGCGTACAAGAAGATCAACGCGGGCGTCTGCTACGCGCTTCTCAACTGCACGCTCTTCATGGTTTTCGCGCTCTTCAGCGTCTTCGCCGTCATCGCGGCGGCGGTGCCGCTGCCCGCCGTCTGCCCGCTCATCTTCTTCGTGGGCATGATGATTTGCCAGGAGGCAATGGCCAGCATGCCCACGCGCCAGTACCCGGCCTTCATCATCGGACTCTTCCCCTCCACCCTCGACTGGGCCATCACGAGCGGCGTCAACCACGGCGGCATCGGCACCAACGCCTACTTCGGCCTCGCGGCCCTCAAGCCGGGCGCCATCTTGCTGTCGACCTTCCTGTGCGCCATCTCGATACACTTCATCGACCGCAAGTACGGCGCCGCCATGGCGTGGTGCATCATGGCGGCGATCCTCTCCGCCGTGGGCCTCCTGCACCAGGACGGTGTGGCAGCCAGCAAAGAGGCCTGGGAGTTATGGCTGGAACCGTCCGGCATGTTGTACTGCGAAGAGAATTGCGCCCCTGGTTCACCGGAGCCGCCGGAGTTCTTCACCAAGACGGTGAAATGGCGCTTCTCTGCTGCGTACGGCACCGTGGCGGTGATGGCCATCTTCCTCTGGATGGGCCAGTGCTGCGGCCTCGTCGACCCACCGATCGTCGACGAGGTTGGCGACGCGGACGAGACGAAGAAGTCGCAGATCCAAAACTCGATCCGCAGCGCGAGGGCGTCGGGCCGCATCTCCAAGGCTCCGTTCTCGGAACGGCAGGGCTCCAACGCCTCCGCAAAGGCCATGGCCTGAGGGCTTGGCGAAGCCCAGCAGACAGTGCGGGCAGGAGGGGGCGAGGCTCCGGCATCGGCGGACCGCGAGTGCTGGGACCGGCTAAGAAACTGCAGGGACCCAGACGCCAGAGAGCGAGATGGGTGTATGTTCCGTGTCGCCGCGGCGCGTGCAGGTAGGAGAGAGTCAGGGCTCTTATTCGGACGGCTCTATACGTGCGCAGGGAGGAGCATGGGGGGAGCGGGGGGGTTGTCATGAGTGAGAAATGTTTCCCCCTCTCTTCCGGGGCAGCGGGGGGCACACAAGCCACAACACATGAAAATCTCCGCAGACCGCACGCGCGGAGACCGCGAAACGCGCCCGAGACGCGACCGACGCGAGACGGACCCCCTGCCACCCCCGAGAGGCGAGAGACTCACCCGCGAGAGGTGAGCGCGACCCGCACGTCCGCCGGCCGCGCAGGCCGGCCCCGAGCGCCCGCCGAGTCGCCGCCGAGCGACAGCGAGTCGTGCCACTCCGGAGTGTGCGGCAGCGAGCGGGCCCGCGAGAGCCGGGCCGCGCCGGCCCCGCAGGGCGCTGTTAATTCTTTATTTATTTACCTTCGAAAAGGACCAGCCCGGGCGCCCCGTCCGCGCAGAGCTCTGACGAGAGTCTGCAGTCTCTCACCCCAGCTCTGAACTCGTGACAAAGCCCCTAGGACTGCCTGCCCGCCTGACTTGCACGCTGGCCGAGCTCATACTCCCTCGCCTTGTTGAACTTTTTCCGAAAGAGCCGCCGGCGCGAGAAGAGGGCGTCGATCGGGTCGCCCCGCTCGGACGCGGAGCGCAGCGCGTCGACGAGCGGGGCGCTGAGGTCGGTGTAGAGGGCGGTGGCGACGCCGGAGCGGCCGGCGCGCGCGGTGCGGCCCACGCGGTGGATGTACTCGACCGCGTTGGCCGCCATCTCGTACTGCACCACGTGGGCAACCTGCACAGCGCCGCAGAGCGGGGAGGAAGTGAGGGGGGTGCCGCCGCTCTCGGCCCCTTTCTTTGCTTCCCTCCCGCCCCCT